AATAAAATATCATATTAAATACAATATTTTAACTATTCGCACCCTAAAACATCTTCAACATGCTCTTATATATTTTTCAAAAAAATATAATTTTATAATATCTTAATATAATATTTAATAATAATAATAATAAAACTAACTAAGACATGTACAATCATTAAGCACAAATTTTTTTACGTCATGCACGCCCAGAAATAAAATTTTTAATTTTTTTTTTTGAAAAATAGAGAGCCTTTAATAAAATATTAAAATATTTAAAATTTGGCTGAAGCGTACACGCACTAGTAATAAAAATATTAAATTATTAAAAACAAAAAACGTATTGAAGTATAATGTTACACGTAACATAAACCTATATTAGCCCAGGTCGAAAATTTTTTTGTTCTGTTTTGTGATTTTTGGGTATACCGAGTTGTTATATGGTGTTATGATATTAGACAATATTGTAGAGAATTCAATTTTGTACAATTTTTTCTAATATATTATTTATCTCGCATAAATAGTTTGGAAGATATAAATATTTTAGCAAAACCATGCACGTGCTCAAAAAATTTCTTGAAACTTGTTTTCGACGGTTTTTAAAAGTATACCAAAATGTTTTAGGAACTTTTGGATTAGAAAAAAATATTTGTTATTTAATAACGTAAAAATTTTCTTAATACATCATTCATATTAAACAAATGGTTTAAAAGTTACAAAATATATTAAAAAGTGATGCACTCAAGTAAAACCAATGGAACCAATCACAGTTGTACTTGAAATTCCAAAAAGTTGATTTTCAATTTAGATTTAAAAGTATACCGAGTTGCTGTAGATCACCAAAATATTAGTAAAAGTTGTTCTTTGTTGAATTTTAAATAAACTTTTTTAATACTCCATGTATATTAATCGAGTGGTTTAAAAGTTACAATAAATATTAAAAAGTGATGCACTCAAGCAAAACCAATCGAACTAATCACAGTTGTACTTGAAATTCCGCAAAAGTTGATTTTCAATTTAGTTGTAAGAGTATACCGAGTAGCTGTAGGTCCTCAAAATATTAAAAAATGTTGTTTATTATTATATTTTAAATAAACTTCTCTTATACTCCAATTATATAAATCGAGTAGTTTAGAAGTTACAAAAAATATTAAAAAGTGATGCGCTCGAGCAAAACCAATAGAACCAATCATAGTTGTACTTGAAATGCAAAAAGTTGATTTTCAATTTAGATTTAAAAGTATACCGAGTTGCTGTAGGTTTCCAAAATATTAAAAAAAGTTTTTGATTATTAAATTTTCAATAAACTTTTCTAATACCCCAATTATATTAATCGAGTGGTTTAGAAATTATGGCAAATATATAATTGTCATGCACTTAGGCAAAACTTCGGAGTTAAACTTGAAATGTAAAAACTAAATTTTCAAAATCTAATTTCAAAATCAATTTCGAAGTATACAGAGTTGCCCTAGAATTTTTCACAATTAGAAAAATTTGTACAAAATTTAATTCTAAACAAATTTGTCTAAAACATCATTCACATTAAACCAAAGGTTCTAAATCTGTGAAAGATCTTGGACCAATCATAGTTGTACTTGAAATTCCAAAAAGTCGATTTTGAAGTACACCGAGTAGCCCTAGAGTTTTCCACCATTAGAAAAATTTGTACAAAATTTAATTTTTAACAAACTTGTCTAGTACATCATACACCAAAGGTTCCAAAACTGTGTATAATATAAACAATAAATGCATAACTAGTACATTTGGCTAATATGGGTTCCATCCAATTTTCATGCCCAAATTTTTTAGACAAAACACAAAAAAATATACTTACACTTTTCATGTAACACACAAAACAATTCAAACGGATTATCTTAATTAAATTATTAATATTTATATATATTAAATTATAAATTTAACATAAAATAAAACTAGCTTCACTGGCATCGAATTTAAAACCTTATTAGGTTTGGTAAAACCTTATTAGATTTGGTAAAACCTTATTTTTTGGTTTTAGTAGAAAATTATAAACTATTCTAAGGATGAGAAAATATTTTTTGAAATTATAGGTGATAACAAAAATTCAGAGACTAAAACTATTATGAGACATGTAAACAACATTCATATCAAATTGTATATATATATATATATATATATATATATATATATATATAAATTCTCCTAAACAAAACCAAAAAGATCTAAAATCAACAATCACATCACATGCTTCCTAAACAAACATCCAAAACATGAAAGTGCAATGTCCAAAAAAACCTTATAATCAAAAAATAAAAATTTATCGTGTCAATTTATAAAATTCCTTGTCCAAAACTAAAAAGTGTGCATCAAAAAAATGATATTTAGTGTCAATTACAAAATTATTTTGGTCTCCTTGATATGTGTCGCGATGGCAGTGAACATTGGTGCACAAAGTTACAAAAAATTTAAAATTCTAGTAAAATAAATAAATAAAATATATTTGCTATATTTATATTGCATTATGATTTAATCGCAAATTTTAAAATCGATGTTAAAAGTATAAATCCATAAATCCTGATGTCGACATCCTGATGTTGAATAGTTGCACCAGATGTTGAACTTCCATAATACACACCTGCGGCAGCAGTGGTGGAAAAAAATAGGATGTAGATAAACAACTTGAAAGGAAGTTGTTTTTATGGGATGATAAATTGCAAACTTTTGCAATTAATTCACAATTAGAAAAAAATGGTAGTTTTAGCAGAAGTATCAACATTGCGTCCAAAAGAGTAATGGTTAGAACATCCAATGTAATTTTGGAAACAAAATTGGTTCACTCTAGCAATTTTTTTAATAAAAGCATTTTAGTAATATCAATAAAGACATCAACTACTTGATTTGGCTTTTAAAAATTTAAGAAGAACGTCCTAATCTAATTAAGGCTATTAAACTATAACTTGTAAAATGGCCAATAATAAAGAAATATTGATGTTTCCACTTTCAAAACGTTCACAATTTTTTTTAACTTCCCGTAGGGTAGTTATAGTAATGGGCCGAAAATCGAAAATGAAAATTTTTGCATTTCTTGGCGTTTTGAAGGTTTCTGAACATTTTACTGGCATACCTCAGAAACTAAATGGATGTGTGTGTGTGTGTTTGGTATGTCCGCATTTTTTCGTCCACGTTTTCGGGCGCACGGATCAACCGATTTGAATGGTTTAAAAAACATTCGATCCCTATTAATAGGGAGTTGTGCTGATTAGTTTTTGGCAAAGGCAGGTCCAGCCGTTACGGAGATATGGAGCAAAGAGTGCAGAAAATAAAAATCGAGTTTTTGAGAGTACGGATCATCCGATTTGTATGATCCAAAAAACATTCAGTTCGTAATGATTAGGATAAGAGGTGATTAGTTTTTGGCAAAGACAGGTCCCGTTATTTCGAAAATACAGAGCTAAATGTGCAAAAATGGCAGTTTTTGAGAAAACTAAGCGTCCGATTTAAATGATCTAAAAAACTTTCTGCTTGTATTGACAGAACAATTGCTTCTGCGGATAAAAAATTATTACATCTTTTTTTTATTTTCCACAGAATATTTTTGTAATTTTGGATTAAAAATTCAAAAAAATTACCCGGGCTAAGCATAGTCTAAGCGCCACTCTGGTACAAATGTTTACCCAAGTGCGTTTAGACTGTTTATATACTGGAGCAAAATTCCAATTTTGTGAAAACTATTGAAAAATGTGAAAATGCCGCCAAGCTAAGCACAGTATAAGTGAAAATGTCGCACAGAATTATTTGCAAATGCGTTTAGACTGTGACTATACGGGAGCACTTTTCCAATTTTATGCAAATTAGCAACTATTTTTTTTTTTGAAATTGAATTCGAAATGAAATGACGATTGTTAATGTTCTGGAGATAAATTGATTTATGATTTACATTTGATTTGCTCAGATATAACAATAAGATAGCAAAAATAATGAAAGTTACAGTATTTGTAATAATATATTTGAAACCGTTTAAAATTTCTTGAATATTTCATTAAGGTACGGGAAGTTACAGCAATTTGCCTTAAAGCACGATGCCATACACCACTAGTTAATTTTTATATTTCCAAAAATGCTAAACCCAATTATTTGACACAAACGCATAAAAAATCAAACATTACTTCAATTATCCAACAAAATTCTGGGTTACCAATTTCATCAATTCTGGTGCTTTTAGTTTTTTTTCTACTTCCTCACAGAAAAAACCTGAACAGTAAAGATTTTTCAACAAAGTTTACTGTTTGAATTGAATTCCAAAAGTTTAACACATTTTTTGGCCACATTGTTGTTACTTTTTGCTTCCAAATGATGAAAATTTTCATGAAATGATGGAACACATGATATATTATATTGGTTTTATGTAAAACACTACTATTTTGCATCATGTAAGTCTCATTCATACTAATTTTGTAAAGTTCAGGACTTGCAAATGCAATTTTGGTAAAAATTGGACACAAATCCAATAAGAAAAGACGCGAATCCAACAAGAAAAGTATAAATCCAACTGGAATCTGGTCAGATTCTAATAAAAATCTCTTGGTTAGACAAATTTAGATGCCAAAAAAAATTTTGTTTATATTGTTTGTGGTTGTCGTCGTTTTAAGGAAAATTTTGTTAAATTAGATCAGTGCACTTCAAGGAACTTTTATGGTAAATCGCAATAAATTGTTTAAATTGTACCAATATGTGCACCATCTACATGCACCACAAACGCACCATACTTTGCATTTTTAGTAATTGCCATTTTTTATTATAAATTTGGTAAAAATATCTCAAGGCACACCAAGAACGATAGCTAGATAAAGGGTTTTATCCCGGTTTAATTTTTTACATCCAATTATCAACCACAATCACACCAGCTCCCAATCCAATCAACCACACAGAAATCTCAACCAAACCAGCACTTCCCCTATAAAACAATCTGCCAGCGTTCTTATATTTAACCCTATCGCTATCATTATTGCTATTCGAATAAAAATCCTCCCCATCAAACTCACCTCGAGCAGTCTTCAGCAGAATTTGAGCCGGTGGTGAATCTCCAAGGGCGTTGTGAGCCCTTAATTCCACCTTGTAGTGAGAATCTGCCAAAAGGTCGTTGAGTTCGTGGGCCGTTGTCTCGAAGGCTCGAAGTTCTCTGGCGTTGCACAAGGAGTCTAGCTCGGTCCAGGCTCCGTTTTGTCTCTGAACCTGGGGGAAAAAATATAGATGACATATTGATGAGAAATCAAAAATAGAATGATAAATAATATTAGCCCTTTTTTTAACTTCCCGAAGGAAAAGTTTATGTTTTCATCAAAAAATCCGATTCGCTAATTTTATGTTTTCTCGACGTTTCAAGCCATCCTGAATCGAATGAGACCAACATTTGAAAAAAGTATGTGTGTGTGTGTGTGTGAACACATTTTTTGCCGTAAATCGTTTTGGATTTGAAATTGATTGAGAAATCAAAAATGGAATGATAAATAATATTAGCCCTTTTTTAACTTCCCGAAGGAGAAGTTTATGTTTTCATCAAAAAATCCGATTCGCTAATTTTATGTTTTCTCGACGTTTCAAGCCATTCTGAATCGAATGAGACCAACATTTGGTGTATATATTTGGTTAGGAAAAAGTATGTGTGTGTGTGATCAGATTTTTTGCCGTAAATCGACATGTTTTCAAAAACGGCTGGACCGATTTCAAAAATTTATAAATCATTCGATGTATCTCGATGAGGACTATTGTTTGTCAGTTTTGCGCGGCGATCGGCCAAGCCGTTTCTTTATAAATCGCAGAAAAGTGAAAAATTTTTCGTGCACATTTTAGCCCGCAATTCTGAATCGATTTTGAAAATTCAAAAACTGTTCGAAACATATTGGTTGGGAATCGACCTGATTAGTTTTTGGTAGAAATCGGCCGGGCCGTTTTCTTGTAATAAAGTTTTTTAAAAAAAATCGAAGATATTCACGATTTTGTTTTTGACGGTATATACCATAGTCTTCTAGATCATACTAAAATATTACCGCCCTACGGCCACTCGTTCAGCTTTAAAAATTCGTCAAAGTTTGGAAAAATTAGTATGGTCTTTTTGGCATTTGTCAAAATTAGAACTTTCATCGACGTTTGCTCAAAAACGCCTGAACCGATTTCAGATATTTAAAAAGCATTTGATGTATCTTGATGAGGATTATCGTTTCTCAGTTTTGTGCGACGATCGACCGAGCCGTTTCTTTGCAATTTGTAAAAAAGTGTTAAACTTTTCGTCCACATTTAAGCTCATTCTACCGAATCGATTTTAAAAAATCAAAAACAGTTCGAAAGATATTAGTTGGGAATGATACTGATTAGTTTTAGGTGAAAATCTACCAAGCCGTTTTCTTGTAATTAACTCTCTTATAGAACTTACTGATATATTACGGCCTTACGACAAGTAATTAAATTTTAAAAATTTATCAAAGTTGAGAAAATGAGTAGTTTTTTTTACGTTTGTTAAAATTAAAATTAGATGATTTACTTGGTATAACGATAGAGTGTTCGTTCGTTTTCAATTATGTGTAATGAATCCACCCGGAATACTTTTAATCACTCATAAATTAATTCATTTTATCGCTGCACAAAACTGACAAAAGATAGTCCACATTAAAATACATCGATTGTCTTTTAAATTTTTGAAATCGGTTCAGGCGTTTTTGTGCAATCGTCGATGAAAGTTATAATTTTGACAAACGCCAAAAAAATGACACTAATTTCTGCAAACTTTGACGATATATTAAAATTTAACGACTTGTCGTAGGACCGTAATATTTTAGTATGATCTAGAAGACTATGGTAACTACCTCCAAAAAATTAATCATAAAAATCGTCGAAATTTTTTATTAAAAAACTTTATTACAAGAAAACGGCCCGGCCGATCTCTACCAAAAACTAATCAGCACGATTCCCAACCAATATCTATCGAACGTTTTATGAATTTTCAAAATCGATTCAGATTTCAAAAATTTTTCACTTCTCTGCGATTTACAAAGAAACGGCCAGGCCGATCGTCGTACAAAACTCAGAAATTGTCAGAAACGCTAGTCCTCATACAGATACATCGAATGGCTTTTAAATTTTTGAAATCGGTCCAGCCGTTTTGGAGAAAACGTCAATTTACGGCAAAAAATCTGTTCACACACACACACACAAACACACACTCATACTTTTTTCAAATTTGGTCTCATTCGATTCAGAATGGCTTGAAACGTCGAGAAAACATAAAATTAGCAAGTCGGATTTTTTGATAAAAACAAACTTCTCCTTCGGGAAGTTAAAAATCAGTTCATATAAGATTTTTAATAGATTTGGTGACTTACTGGGCAGTATCTCAATTGGTAGTAGTCGATAGGTTCGCCGTTGTCTGCAGGTATCTTCCACCTTAATTCATAATGATCGGCGTATGGCGATGTTACAATTCCTCCATCGACTTCGTTTGAAACACCAACTAAAAGTCTGAAAGGATACAAAAAATATTCGTAAAAATTCGACACAAATCTTGTCCTCTTGTATCTAAAAGTTGATTAGAAATAGGGTTTGTCGGTTTTCAAAAACCGGTTTTAAAAACCGTTTTTTTGGCGAAAATTATCGAATTCGAAAACCGGTTTTTTAGTGAAAAAAGTCGGTTTTCACTGTACAAATGGAAAATGACAAATATAGCCAAATATAAAAGATAGATGAAAGCGTCTTCATTCTTGAAATCATATCGGTTCAATAGCATTTGATATCTTATCAGTCTGCAATAGTTCCCAGAAAGGTTTTGTTCATATTAATTTAGATTTTTATACCAGTGTATATATTAATTTAAATCAGTGTGACTTCTTCTTGAAGTAACTTCCTCTACTCAAACTTAAAAAAAATGAGTTTTAAACCCTAGAAGTCACAAATTAAAGAACAAGAAACTCAAAATTATTATATCAGGCTTTAAAAATAATTAAGCATAATTTGGTCGCAAGTATGAGAGTATTTTCTATTTAAGAAAATTTTGTGAGTAAACAATAAAGGACACGTCTAAGTAACAATTCGATAGACGTTCTCAGTTTTTTTAAATCATATTTTATTAAACAAAAAAACAATTAGAATGTTTAAAATTAATTAATTAAAATTGCTCGGAACAGAAAATACGCGAGTTTAGCTTAAATGTTTTTAAAACTAAAATTGATATTAACAAGTATGTATCAACATGTATCTAATATTTTTTTTTTGTTAATTTAATGAATTTTTTTTTTAAATGTATTATTTTTAGTCATTCGAAAACTTTCCTTTCACTATCATAAAAATATTTTCATTCTTATATGTGAAAATGATGCAAAAATAACGAATAATTATTTTCAAAGTTATTTAGACAGACAGACAAAAGTATTTATTTCAATATTTAAAATACATTTTTCAGTGTTGCCTTTTGTACATACTTTTTTACCTGTGGGCATTTTATATGAGAAATATGTTTTTAATATATATGATAAATATAGTTTACAATATGTATACGATATGATTGTATGTGTGTACTAAAAAAAAAGAGAAAAATAATCTTTCTCCCAAAAAAAATACAGATTCTTTATATATTAATAATTATATGTTTTGTTGACTCCCCTTAAGAGAGAGGAGTCACATAAATAATATGCTCCTTATTTAGCCGCTATGGGTTGAAGTTATTTAATCACGATAAACTATTATTTTTCAGTTTTACTAATTAAAATTAAAATAATTTTGTTTACTATCCATAAAATTGAACAATAAATAAATTCAGTCGAATACTGCTCAAAATCACACTAAATTTGCGGATAAATAACAGGTTATTCGAGCAAAAATTTATTTTCTATATAAAATTCGAAAACCGGTTAAAACCGGTTTTTTAGTAAAATTAAAATTCGAAAACCGGTTTTCTAAAATGTCGGTTTTTGTATAAACCCTAATTAGGAATCAAAAGTTTTTTCTCTTACTTTGGTTCTTCTGGCGGCGATCTCCTAGGCGTAGCCTGTGCAATATTATTGCTATAAGGTCCAGGGCCAACAGCATTTGTGGCAGCAAATCTAAAATGGTAAATAGTCTCCGGCACCAAACCGTCTATCGTATAACTAGATTCAGCACTCCATGTAGCATTCCTTGCACCTCTCCAATCTAACTCTCTTTCTGGTTTGTATTGGCAAACATATCCCAAAATCGGCATACCATCATTGTCACCAGGACCCATAATGTCGAAGGACACGCTCGTGGCAGTTATTGTATTAATTTTAGCCTAAAAATAAATTATAGTTTTATCCGAAGTGGAAAAAAAATACTTGGGAAAAAATACTAAAAATTGTATATAAAAATATTAGGTTGGCAAATATCTCCCTTCCGCCTTTTTGTATTATAAACCAAAAGCAAAAAAGCGGAAGGGAGATATTTGACAACCTAATATAACCTATCGAAATATGGAAAAATTGAAAATTCGTTATTTTGAAAATTTCACACTAGTTGTGCCCCTTAATTTAAATCAGTGTGACTCCTTCTTGAAGAAGTAACTTGAATTTAATTATTAATTTATCCATTTTAATAAACTAGTTGATTTTATGAACTATTCTTTGCACCTTTCATTGTTTTCGCTTTAGGGTTTGTCGGTTTTCAAAAACCGTTTTTTTGGCGAAAATTATGAAATTTGAAAACCGGTTTTTAGTGAAAAAAGTCGGTTTTCACTGTATAAATAAAAAATGACAAATATAGCCAAATATAAAAGATAGATGAAAGCGTTTTGATTTTTGAAATCATATCGGTTCAATAGCATTTGATATCTTATCAGTCTGCAATGGTTCCCAGAAGAGTTTTTTATATAATAATTTAGATTTTTATACCAGTGTATATATTGTATACACTGTATAATTATATATACAGTGTATATATTAATACTAATGAAATATTTGACAAATTTGTACAAAATTAATCAACCTATAACATTTTCTAATATTATAAGTACCTACTAGGGTTTGTCGGTTTTCAAAAACCAGTTTTAAAAAACAGTTTTCTGGCGAAAATTATGGAATTCGAAAACCGGTTTGTTAGTGAAAAAAGTCGGTTTTCACTGTATAAATAGAAAATGACAAATATAGCCAAATATAAAAGATAGATGAAAGCGTTTTGATTCTTAAAATCATATCGGTTCAATAGCATTTGATATCTTATTAGTCTGCAATGGTTCCCAGAAAGGTTTTGTATATAATAATTTAGATTTTTATACCATTGTATATAATAGGTTGTCAAATATCTCCCTTCCGCCTTTTTGTATTATAAACCAAGAGCAAAAAAGCGGAAGGGAGATATTTGACAACCTAATATTAAGGGGCACAACTAGTGTAACCGCCTAAAAAAAAGGCGATTTTTGGGAATTTATATTAAAAAAAACTACTTTATCAATCATTTCAAAATTTCAGGAATATATTTATACAAGTTTTAAGAATACATAGTAAAATTTTAGAAACAAAAAATTAAATATTTTTTAAGTTATCGTCGATCTCCAACGGCGCGACAAAAAAAGACCCTTCACTGCTGCAGTAATTCCGGCCTTCTACGTGGATGAAATTTAAAAAAAAATATCTTGTCAAACTCGATAATATTGTCTGTAAAATGAACTACGATGAAGAAAAAAATCAAAAATTGACAAAATGATGGCGTTTTTTTAAAAAAAGTCGAGTTTTACCCAAAACTTTGGTCGTTTTTGGACTGCCAAAATTCGATTTTTGATCCGATCAAAAAATCGATAGTTCATTTTACGGAGAACTATATATAGAACATGTAAAAAAAATTTGATAGTGATCGGAGCATTTGTTTTCGAGTAATCACTGCAGCAAATGCGGAAAATGCTGTTTCGAAAAAAACGCGTTTAAAGATTAAATGATCGTTATACTATATACTATATATATACTCTTCAAATGGCTGTAACTCAAAAACTATTCAAGATATCGATTTAAAATTTTAGTATGTTATAAAGATATAACCTATTGAAATATGGAAAAATTGAAAATTCGCTTTTTTGAAAATTTCACACTAGTTGTGCCCCTTAATTTAAACAGTGTGACTTCTTTTTGAAGAAGTAACTTCCTCTACTCAAACTTAAATGCCACAAATTAAAGAACAAAAAACTTAAAATTACTATATTAGGCTTTAAAAGCAATTAAGCATAATTTGGTTGCAAGTATGAGAGTATTTTCTATTTCAGGAAATTTTGTGAGTGAACAAAAGACACGTCATATTTTATTAAACAAAAAAACAATTAGAATGTTAAAAATTAATTGGTTAAAATAGCTCGGAACAGACAATACCCGAAGTTAGCTTAATTGTTTTTAAAACTAAAATTGATATTAACAAGTATGTATCAACATGCATCTAATTTTTTTTAAATTTAATGAAAGTTTTTTATTTAAAAATGTATTATTTTTATTTATTCGAAAACTTTCCTTTCACTATCATAAAAATATTTTCATTCTTATATGCGAAAATGATGCATGAATAACGAATAATTATTTTCAAAGTTTTTTAATCAAGATAAACTATTATTATTTTTTAGTTCTACTAATTAAAATTAAAATAATTTTGTTTACTATCTATAAAATTGAACAATAAATAATTTCAGTCAAATATTGCTCTAAATTACACTAAATTTGCAGATAAATTACAGAATATTCGAGCAAAAATTTATTTTCTATATAAAATTCGAAAACCGGTTAAAACCGGTTTTTTAGTAAAATTAAAATTCAACTAGCTGTAAGTGGAATTCTGTCTTAAGGCAATTAGGGCATCGTGCCTTAAGGCAAATTGCTGGAACTTCCCGTACAAAAATTATTATTTTTTTAAAAACCGATTAACATTTTTGAAAAAATTTTACTTCGAAAAAAATAGATTTTTGAGAAACTATAAATTTGACAAAAAAATACTTTTTTTTGAAAAAAAAAAATTTATTTGAAGAAAAATTTTTTTTTGAGAAAAAATTTTTTTTTTGAAAACAAAAAAAAAATTTTGAAAAAAAATGTTTTCTTCATTTTGACATATTTTGAAAATTCTGAACTTTTTTTCACTTGCACTGCACTGCTTGAACTGCATAGAGACGAAATGTCAAAGCTCGCTAGTGCCGCGCCGCCGTCTAACGCGTAAACATTGGTACGGAACCCACAGAAATGTAAAAAAAAAATATACTTATTGTTGAAATCTCTATAAAATATCTGACAATTTGATGTGCATATGTCTAATGATCATTTTTAACCGCCGAATGGCATTTTTTTTTACTTTTTTCATTAGATCTCCGAAACCGCTAGACCTGCCTTCATGAAAATTTGATCAATTCTACATCTTGTCAATACAAGTAAAATGTTTTTTGAATTATTCAAATCGGACGCTCCGTTCTCTTAAAAACGGAGGTACCGTTTTTGGCACTTTTTGCCCCGTATCTTTGGAACGGCTGGACCTGCCTTTGCCAAAAACTAATCAGCACGTCTCCTTATCAATACGAATCGAATGTTTTTTGAATTATTCAAATCGGTTAATCCGTGTTCCCGAAATCGTCGACGAAAATTTGTATCCGCACATACATACACACACATACATACATACATACATACATACATACATACAACCACACACACACACACACACACACACACATACATCCATTTTTTCTAAGGTATGCCAAAATGTTCAGAAACCTCTGAAACGTAAAGATATATAAATATTTTCATTTTCGATTTTTTTGCGATTACTATAACTTGCCCTACGGGAAGTTAAAAACTGGTTTTCTGAAATGTCGGTTTTGTATAAACCCTAGTGGTGATAGTGCACAAAATTTGGTACTTACTTGAGAAATCGCTTGTGGCGGATGAGCTTCTCTTAAATCTACCAAGTGTTCAGCTTTACCCAATCGATTAGTGGCAACACACTTATATTTGGTGTACATCCTCCTGTCTAAAGGTTTAACAATCAGGTTGCTTTGTGGACCTGAGCCTTCAATCCTGTAGAACCTGTCTTCAATAATAGGTCTATCGTTCAGTCTCCATTCGATGGTTGCATTTGGTATACTTTCAGCAAGGCACGACAAATTGGCGGTGCGTTGTTCCCATGAAAACACTGGTGGTTGATTTTTGGAGGCCTCGAACGTTGGTGGAAATTCCACGGTTATGTGACCAGTTTTGTAGTAGGTATCACCTTTGTTTCGGGCTATGCACTCGTATAAACCGTCATCGGATCTGACCACGTTGGTGATTGTTAGTGTTCCTGTGGTTTCACCAAGTTCAGAATTCACCTGGAAAGTAGAAAAATTGTAGCTCCAAAATCCCTATCCAAATCATCATTATAAAACTTCCTTAGACGCGACGTGGGTGTAAATCCGTACAAATGCAACGAAAATTGTTACGGCAAGGTCAAGTGAAAGTCATTCGCTCTCGATGATTTGTATGCGGGTCGATTCTGATTGGTCGTATTTGTGCGAGGCTTCTTGGTATGCGTGACTTTATACGTGCGTACGTCACCGAAAGCGTGAAGCATATTGTTCATCTTCCAGTTTAAGGTTAAATAGTAGTATAAATCGTGAGTTAATAAAAAATGTCTGGATCGTAGGAATATTTTATCCCGTCCCCCATAAATAATTTTAGTGCAAATAATGAAACAAATGAAACATCTGTAAGAAAGCGTAAGTTTATTGAAGTAATTTGAATTATTCGAGTTTTTCGAGATCACTATATACCTTTGAGGTTATTACTAAAAGGGAAAATATTTTTATAGACAAGACAGATACTGCAGTTGCTCAAAGAATGAAACTGTATCGCCAGCCATATAGTCAAAACAAACAAGCAGTCAATAAACGTACTCGTATGTTAATTGTCATTACATAAAGTTCTACAAACACAATTACATGATAGATAAAATTGTGAAAACAATATTTCTTTATTGAAAATTTAGAGAAAATTTACATGTTTCTCTTTTATGATGGCTATTAAGACTAATTTTAATTTATTATAATAGTAATTATAAATATTGCTTCTTACAAACTCTGAAAGATCAAGATTACATCGTCAAAGAAACCAACTGCAGGAAAATACATAGGTTACTGCCAATTTATTAGAAAATCTTGAACCAGGTATCAATTTAGATGTTAATGTCAACACCATTGACATAAGTAAGAATCTTTTTTCGCTATTTGACTCCTGAAAAACGCTTCAACTATCCACATTTAAACACATTATTCTTTTATCTATTTATATGAAAGTACTGCTGTAACTTTTTCTGATACAGCAACTACATCACGTCAATAGCAAATTAATGATTTTGTATATAATGTGACTAATAATGTGACAAGAACTGATCTTTTGCAAGAGTCAAATGAAGTATTTGAACTTCCATATAAAGACTTCAATTTGTTTAGGAATGTACGAAAATTGTTTGAAAAACAATTCACAAATGATAGCTTTGGCTATGTATGTTTTGTGTGTGATCGACTTTGGTTTCAAAGTGACTTAAAAATATTAAATGAAGCTCAAAAACAAATTCTTAATAATGGTTCTCTGAATTGATTCAAATAATCAGGTTGGATGTCAAACTTGTCGAAAGGCATTAAATTCGGGTAAAATTCCCACTTTGTGAAAATTTAACGGGTTTGTATTTCCACCTATACCAAATTATCTACCTAAACTAGATATTGTATCTGAAAGGTTAATTTCACCTAGGTTGTGTTTTATGCAAATTAGACGATTGCGATATGCAAATGGACAACTTAGAATATTTGGCCAAATTATAAATGTGCCTGTTGACGTTAATAATATGGTTAATTTATTACATCGTAACATTGATGATGATCATTGCATTAACGTTCACATAAAAAAGAAAATGATTCATAGATCGAGCTATGTGCAGGGCTTGATAAATAAAACAAATATAAAAGTATGGCTTCAAACTTTTAGGCAAGGCAAATATTACAGTTGTTTAAGGAATGAGATTATATCACCAGCGAAAAAGTAAAAAATATAAGCTGTCAATGAATGCATGTTAATTTTAATTACATGAAGTTCTTCAAACACAATTATTACATGATGAATGAATTTGCAAAAACAATATTTGTTTAGGCGTTGTTTAACATAATCCACTGTGTGAACGAATGTTCTAAATTTTTTTTATTTACCTCTTGTTCCAATACGACCCTGTCGTCTCCTGGTTGTGGTCCAGGCAGCATTTCAACATCAGCACCCCATCTCTTGAAAGTGACAGCAGGTGCTGGTCGTCCAGAGGCAATACAGACTAATTTTGTGGTTTTTTCGAAAGTTGCTGTCACGTTTACTAAAGTGTGCACTTTTGGTTTGACGACTACTTCAACGTTGACGTTGGAAGGTGGGGAAACACCTGCTGCATTACGGGCAAAACAAGCATACAGACCACGATCAGACTGTTCTACACGGTTCAGCCTTAAAACACCTGGAAGAAAAAGACACATATGGGTCTTTCTTTTACAAACCGTACACTAGGGAATGCAATACCGGTAATACCGGTATACCGAATTACCGGTAAACCGCCCGATTTTTCGGCGGTAATTTTACCGGCATTTACCCCAAAAATACCGGTATTTTCAGTATTTTTACATAAGTGCTATTTGATACATAATACACTAAAGTTTAAATTTCTCGGAACAAATTTATCTTTAAATTCCATAATCGCATAAACAGCTATATCTTCAAGTGATTCTATAGGATAAACAAATGTTAGATATTATCTCAATTCGTTATTAAACTGAATATATATTGCTTTACTAAGGGCTTCATATCGTGTTGCAATAATTAAAATTGGACTAGTAGATAATGATGTTTGTTTCATCTTATGCAAAAATGTTAAGTGATATTTTCGTCAAAATATTTTATATCATACAGATTATCTCTGCGTAATCTTTATTTTTTTCTAACTTTATACATAATTATTATGATAATTATGATAATTACTAAATATTTCTGATTCTTATTACAATTATAAAATATTATTTTTCGACGTTTCGAAGTTTGAAAATACTATAGAAGCATCACATTGTTTTAAATAACAATACTCAACAATTATAGTAACTTATTATTTATCTCGACGAAGTATCCGATCTTAAATTAGTGTAAAAAAATATTTTTTAAAAATATTGGATATTGTGCTAATTTAACACATCGGATACACCAACATAATTTATTATAATAATGTAATATGATCTTTTATGAGTTTTTGGTCTTTCTTACTCATAAGTTTGTTTTTGGTGAAAAGTACTCAATATACTCCATAGTGATAATGAATTAATTAAATTGGATATAATTTTGTTAAATTATTATTTAAAAAAATAAACTTATTGTTTTATTTTATTGTTTTTATTGTTTAGTTGAATATAGTTGTAGTTGTATATACATTTTTTTATATTTGTACTAGTAACTTTCAATTTTGCATTCCCTAATGCAGAGAAAGTTCATAAAAATTGTTAAAAGCGGCAATATTTCAATCGTAAATATCAACGAAAAAAAAATTTTTGCCGGCAAAATCCTTATATACATGTCAAATGATTTTATCTATAATATCTATAAAAAAAATTTCAATCAATTCTAAAATGTCACATTTTTTTACCAAAACCCGTACGATTTATAAAAGAACTAGCAAACCCGACGAACTCCGTTTCGCCACCAGATGGTTTTGTGAGGAAGATGAAGAAATTTTTTGTTTGTTTTATATTTGTAAAGAAAAAAATTGATTTTATTACACAACAGTAATGAATTTATTTCGATTACAAAATGGAAGTGATTTTTAGTTGAACTTCTCTAAGTAAATGAAAGTGAATCCGCAAATTATCCGTTTCATTGAAGTGCTCTTTGGTAAACCACATTTTTTGTTTTTTGGTCTGACGTTAACACAAACAAAGCAGATGGTTTTCCAACTCGTGAACAGGCAACGTATAACTGCCCATGTAAAAAACAATAATTTTCTGAATAATCTATTTGAAATTTATTCCGCAAACACTAAGCGATTGGCCTTGCGACTTGTTATTGCGAACGATTAGAAATTGCAATCGTTTGAAGTCAAACGGAAGACCAGTCGGAATCATTGGTATGTCACCAAATGGCCAACAATTTTTGATTGAATGGTGAAATTCAGTGCGTGTACATCATTATTCTTTGCGGCAAGAATTGCTCGTTGACTTAACCAAACATAATTCTGATAATTCTCACTAATGTCATTACTCGAATTTTTAATTACGGTGCGTGAAGTTGCAGCAATTTGCATTAGGGCACGATGCAATGCACCACTAATTTTCTTAGCCCGAAAGCCTTTCCAACGAATGTCAAAAATCGGTTCGTGCGTTCTGGAGTTATTTCGTCAGGAAGGAAAACCCGACTTATTTTTACATATATGTAGATGACCCATGTAGTCTTACCATAATTTCACCAAGTTAAATTTTCCTTTACCTGTATGTTGGTCGACAGCAAATCGATCAGCAGTCGACAAATCCTGTTGCGTCTCCTGTTTAATCCATTCGAAAGTCGGTCTCGGTTTACCAGTAGCCCTGCACTGGATACTGGCACTTTCACCTTCAACCACCTCCAAAGTAGTATCCATAGGTTCAATAACTGGTGGTTTATGCACTTCTACCCTAATATTTCGTTCAGCAAGTTCACCAGTTGATATAACTGCTGCTCTGCACGTATATAAACCATCGTCTTCTTCCCTGACGTCTCGGATTAGGAGACCACGAGTCTCTACAACTCTTCTGCCTGATGTCAAAACCTGGGTAAAAGATAATTGGAAAAAATATTATAAATATAAATTTGGGTATAAATATTATAAATATTATAAAAATATTGGTTTGGTATCTAAAATGGTGTGTTGATGCTTACTTGTTCACCATCTCGTAGCCAGTCTACTGTTGGTGAAGGACTTGCAGTGACTTCGCACCTAATTTTGTAGTCAGTGCCTTCTATTGGATATTGGTTTTCTGGAGCATCTATCCAAGTTATAGCCACTGGAAAAAATAACGTCCAATAAATTTGACTAAAATGCAAAATGTATTCATTTATTTTATTAACTTCCCGTAGGGTAGTTAGAGTAACGGGCCGAAAATCGAAAATAAAAATTTTTGCATTTCTCGACGTTTTGATGGTTTCTGAACATTTTATTGGCATACCTCAGAAAAAATGAATGTGTGTGTGTGTTTTGTATGTCCACATTTTTTCGTCCACGTTTTCGGGCGCACGGATCAACCGATTTGAATGGTTCAAAAAACATTCGATTCCTATTGATAGGGAAAAGAGCTGATTAGTTTTTGGCAAAGGCAGGTCCAGCCGTTTCGGAGATACGGAGCAAAGAGTACAGAAAATACAAATCGAGTTTTTGAGAGAACGGAGTATCGGATTTGAATGATCTAAAAAACATTCAATTTATAATGATTGGGAGAAGAGGTGATAAGTTTTTGGCAAAGACAGGTCCCGCCATTTCGAACATACAGAGCTAAATGTGCAAAAAATGGCAGTCTTTGAGTGCACTAAGCGTCCGATTTGAATAATCTAACTAGTAGGGCATCGTGCCTTAAGGCAAATTGCTGGAACTTCCCGTACCAAAATTTTTTTTTTTAAAAGATTAACATTTTTGATAAACAATGAAACAATTACATTTTTGAGAAACGTTGAAGTTTTGACAAAAATTAACTTTTTTTTGAATAAAAAAACCCTTTGTAGAAAAATTTGTTTTGAAATATTTTGGAAATTCGGAACTTTTTTTCAAAGCAATCGTACTGCTTTATCTGCATAGAGACGAATTATCGAAGCGCGTAAACGCCGCGCCGCCGTCTAATGGATAAACATTTATACGGAACCCATAGGAATGTAAACAAAATTTATACTTATTGTTAAAATCTCTATAAAATATCTGATAATTTGAAGTGCATATGTCTAATGTTCATTTTTGACCGCCAAATGGCTCATTTTTTTACTTTTTCCTCCATATCTCCGAAGTCGTTGCACCTGCCTTTCCAAAAATTTAAACAGTTCTTCATTTAGTCAATACAAATAAAATGTTTTTTGAATTTTTCAAATAGGACGCTTCGTTCCGAGTTACCGTTTTTAAGACTTTTTGCCCCATATCTTCGGAACGGCTAGACCTGCCTTTGCCAAAAACTAATCGGCACGTCTCCTTATCAATACGAATCGAATGTTTTTTGAATTATTCAAATTGCTTCATCCGTGTTCCCGAAATCGTCGACGAAAATTTGTATCCGCACACACACACTTACATGCACACACACATACACACACAGACATATACATCAATTTTTTTCTAAGGTATGCCAAAATGTTCAGAAGGTTTTGAAACGTAAAAATATATCAAAACTTGCATTTTCGATTTTTTTGCGATTACTATAACTTGCCCTACGGGAAGTTAAAAAATTACCCAGGCTAAGCACAGTCTAAGCGCCACTCTGGTACAAATGTTCACCCAAGTGCCTTTAGACTGTTTATGTAATGGAGCACTTTTTCAATTTGGTGAGAAAACTATTGAAAAATGTGAAAATGCCGCCGAGCTAAGCACAGTATAAGTGAAAATGTCGCACAGAATTATTTGCAAATGCGTTTAGACTGTGACTATACGGGAGCACTTTTTCAATTTTGTGCAAATTAGGCAACTAAGGTATTTTTTTTAAAATTGAATTCGAAATGAAATGACGATTGTTAATAATAAATTGATTTATGATTTACATTTGATTTGCTCAGATATAACAAGGTAGGAAAAATAATGAAAGTTACAGTATTTGTAATAATATGTTTAAAATTTCTCGAACATTTCGTTACGGTACGGGAAGTGTTCTAGCAATTTGCCTAAGGCACGGTGACATACACAACTAGTTATATTAATTTTTATCCCCTTACCTATGGTATCAATCCTGACTTTAACCTCCAATCGTTCAGTATTCGCATAACTGGCGGTGCAATAATAATCTCCAGCCATGTCTTCAGTCAAAGTTGGTATATAAAGTGCCAAAGACATCTCTCCTGGTAACATCTCCGTATACATTGGCGGACGCTGACCACCGCCGCCACTGCTGCGAGTAAGGTGACGACTGTAGTTTGTGGTAGATTGAGGTAGATTTTAATGGTAAAGGTAATTAGAATGGTTGAAAGGATAAGGATGAGTAGTTATTTGTGTGGTGGATAGTGGTATATGTGTATTTGGTAGGGTGAAAAAATACAAAGAAGGTAGGTGTTGTGTATTGTGATAATGGTGAAAATGGTAGATGGTGATAAATAGGTGATATAAAGTAGATGATGTAAAAGTATAAGCGTAAAAAATTGAACAATTTGATGTACGACAAAAGTGATAGAAAATATGTAGGTGTAGCAAGTTGAGTGGTAGATATGGTAGATCCAAACATCAATCGATTGCGGATGAATGGACAACGATCAGTAGTTATTTGTGTGGTAGATAGTGGTATATGTATATTTTGTAAGGTAATAGTAAAAACAAAAATACATAAATGTGGATGTTGTGTATTGTGTGTATGGTAAAAATGGTAGATAGTAACAAACAGGGTGATATAAAAGTATGAGTATAAAAAATTTAACAATTTGATGTACATTAAAAGTGATAGAAAAAATGTAGGTGTAGCAAGTTGTAGTAGATATGGTAGATATGTGAATTTAGTCAGGTCAAAAAATACAAAATAAGGTGGGTGTTGTGTATGGTGTGTATGGTAAAAAATGGTAGATGGTAATAAATAAGTGATATAAAGGTAGATGTGAGCAAAATTATACAGTTTGATGTACAACAAAATAGTGATATAGTGTAGCATTGAAAATGAAGTGTAGCAAGTAATGGTAGATATGGTAGATTCAAACATATATTGATTCAATTAATATTTTTTATTGTAGGTGTTGAGAAATCAAGTGCAAAAATTTGATGGAAGTATTTATTTAAAAATAAATTAAATTGTGTTAAGTGAAATTCAAGGGTATATTATGGTATATGAAAACATATATAACGATATAGAACAAAGTGTTTAATGTGGTAAATAAGAATAGATGATAATAAATGTTATGGTATAAAAAGACATGTATATTTTAAAAGTGTAATAAATGTGTTTTTTAATAAAAAAAACAAGAAGTTGTAGCATGTTGTGGTAGATATGGTAGATTCAAGCATAAATCGATTTAATCAATAAATGTTCATAATGTTTTTTTTATTGTAGGTGTTGTAAAATCGAGCGCAATAAATATGATGAAAGAAGTAATGTGTTTATTTAAAACGTGGTAGATACAAGTAGATAGTGGTAAATAAAGATATATGATAATACACCAAAAATAATATGTGTGTTTATATATTGTTACACATTATATATATATATATATATATATATATATATATAAATATATATGTAACAGTACATGTGTTTTCGTATTAAAGTAGTTTTATGGATAGATTGTGGTAGGTGTGGTAGATTGTTTTGTCAATAAAAATTAAAACATGACAAAATGAAAAAAATAAGGGTAGATCGTGTTATATGAAAAAACATGATAGAAAACATAGTGGTACAAATTGTGGTAGATCAGACAAAAAATATGGTATATTAGGTAGATAATATTAAAAGTTATGAATAATTTTAAACATTTTAAAGTGTTTCAATGTGTATTTTAAAAATTCAAGTTTTTTTAAGTGTGGTGGATTATGGTAGATGATTATACAACAGGGTAGATGATCAAATTTTTAATGAAATTCAAATCAAAGTGAATTTAAAAAATGTATTAAGTATGCATTTTAAAATTCAAGTAATTTCACATGTTGTAAAAGATGGTAGAAAATAGTAAAAAATGGTAGATTGTAAAATTTATAATAATTTAAAAATGAAAATAAATATTGAAAGTATAGTAAACATGTACAATAAAATTCAAAAAGTTTGACAAAGATGTATTTCAAAATTCAAGTAGTATTTAGAAATGGTAGAATATGGAAAGTGATGGTATAAAAATGTAGATGACAAAAATTTAATTGTGTCAGAAACAAAAATAATTATTAAAAGTATAATAAATGTGTGTTTTGTAATTCAGATGGGTTTGGTTTAAGGTAGCACATGGTATATGAAGGTATAAAATGGTAGATGACAAATATGTTTTAAAAATAAAAATAAATATTGAACATAAAATAAAAAGTATTTAAAAAGTAAATATGTATTTTAAAATTCAAGTTGATTTAAGAATGGTATAAAATGGTAATAAATGTAGTAAATAAGTATTTCAAATTTAAGTAATTTTGGATATGATTTAATATGATAGATGATGGTATAAAAATGAATAAACATAATAATTGTTATTTACAAATAAAAATGAATATTAAAATAGTATCAAACACATATTTTAAAATTTGAATAATTTTACATATGGTAGGTGATAGTATACAACAAAAGATAATAGTAAAAAACGGTAGATGTCAATATTAAAGTGAATTTGTGTTACAAATGTACAAAAATAAACAGATGAATGTATGGTAAAAATGGTGAATAGTAAAAAATAGTGTGTACAAAGGTGCAAGTGTAAAAAAATGTGAAGTAAGATGTGGTAGATATGGTAGATTGAAACAAAAATTGAATTAATCAGTAAATGAGTATGACATGTTTTTATATAAGACATGAAGTAAGTTATTGTAATAAATGAAGTGGTTTTGTGCATCGTGGTAGATGTGGAAGGTGTGGTAGATTAAAATTTAGAATAAGGAGAAATTAAAGAAAATGTGTTGTGTTTAATAACAAAAAACAGTGGTAGATAGTTTTACGTGGTACAAAATGTGATTTATATAATTGGTGAAAAAATGGTAAATCGTGATTGGGAATTGTGATTTGTGATGGATAGGATTTCAGTGCAGCAGTGATTTTCAAGCATTTGATGATTTTTTTTTTTTGAAGTCCAGAGATGACACAGGCAGCGAATGAAAACAAGATGCAATTTGTTAGTTACAATACAACAATTTGAAAATTAATAACAAAATGTATTTTAATTTAATAGACAATTAAAAACAATTTTAATAATAATTTGACAGTAAAAATAAGTTTTTTGAGCCTTTTGTTCGTGAACATAAAAATATATATCTGTCTCTCTTTTTTTTAGAGAACAATATGGAAATATATAGTTCTCTCTCTTTCTCTTGCACTCATTTCATGACGTAAAAAAATTAGCTAAAAATTAGCCAAAAATTAGAAAAAAAATAGTAAAAATTAGTAAAAAAATAGAAATAAATCGTAAAATACATTTTATAATTTCACTAAACAAATATCCACGAACAAATGACTCCAAATTATTTTACAACAATTTAATTTCTTTGCTAAAATATTTATTCTTATTATGATACTATTTTTCTATTTAGTACAGCAGCTTTCAAGGCAATTAATTCAAACTCTAATTTGTTTTTTTGGTTAGTATATATTTTATGCCAAATCTTTATGCACTAATTAATTAATAAATAAATTAATTAACTAATTAATTAATTAAATAAATCATGACCAAGAAAACTGCAAATACTACTATACCTATAGTTGAATGCGTCGAAAAATTGATTGTAGAACCTACAGAAAAATATAAGAGTGACTAAAACTAAATAATAATAAATAATAATAATAACAGTAATAGTAATAAATGATACATTAAAAATTACTAAATGCGTAATAAATTATTTAGTTATTTTTACATATTAAATTAAAAAAAAAAATAATAATGTAAATAAATTTGCAGGAAAAATGTAACAATTAGCATATGGAACACAAGAACTAACATGTCGAATCTTAAATTTATTTTCGGAACGATTTAAAAGTATACCGAGTTGTTATAGGGTCTTGTTATATTAGACAATATTGTAGGCACTTTAATTTTGAACACATTTTCCAAAAATATTATTTGAATTCCGTACATACTTTGAAAGTTATGAATTTATTACTGAACAAATGCACTTTTGGCTACTCATGAAGAAAACACATGTGCCTCAGTGCTATAAAAATATTGTTTGATTTTCTAAAGCGTTTTATAAGTATACCGAGTTGCTGCAGGGTCTTGTGATATTAGACAATATTGTAAATTTAATTTTGAACATTTTTTTCAAAAACATTATTTAGATTCCGTGTAGATTTCAAAAGTTATGAATTTTTTACTCAACAAATGCACTCTTGGCTAGTTCCTCATGTAGGACACATGTACCTTGGTGCTTTGGAAATATTGTTTAATTTTCTGAAGCGTTTTATAAGTATACCGAGTTGTTGTAGGGTGTTTTGATATTAGACAAATAATAGATTATTTCATTCTGAACAAATTTCTCAGAAACAGTATTTAAATTCCGTAAATAGTTTAAAAGATATGAATTTTTTAATCCACAAATGCACTCTTGGCTAGTTACTCATGTAGGACATAAGCGTGTTGGAGCTTTGAAAATATTGTTCAATTTTCTGAAGCGTTTTATAAGTATACCGAGTTGTTGTAAGGTCTTGTGATATTAGACAATATTGTAGATAATTTAATTTTGAACAAATTTCTCAAAAACACCTTTTGGATTCAGTAAATAGTTTAAAAGTTATAAATTTTTTACTAAACAAATTCACTTTTGGCTATTTACTTGTACACAGAATACATTCCTAAGTGCTTTGAAAATATTTTTTTATTTTCTTAACCCTTTTATAAGTATACCGAGTTGCTGTAGGGTGGTCTTTTAATATTAAACAATAATATAAAAAATATCATCTAGTTTATCATATTTTTTTAAATTTTTTCCTACTTACGCTGAAGGTAAAATAGTCCTATTGTTCTGATCTTTCCATTGAAGGTCAGTTATTAAATTTGTGTCTGCAACATCTGGCCTGCAGGTCAAAAGCAGCGACTTGCCAACAGGTTTCGTCTGTACTGATTGGGAGGGCAAAATCTGCAACCTTGGGATGTCCATGGCTTGAGCTGGAAAAATAGAAAAAATAATTAAAAATCATAAATTATAATCATAAATCATCATAATTAATCAGTATCATAATTTATAACTATTGTTGTTAGAACTCTCCCATGGATTAGTGGTTAGAGCTATGGACTTGGATTTTGGGTCAAAAATATTTTAAGTTATTCTCAACCAAAACTCGCTTATCTTAAAAATTCTAGTCTCAAAAATATTAGTGTTATGTGCAAAAATTTAAACTAACTATACGTTATTGATAAATAATCTTACAAAGTGAGATACGTTTCGAGACTATGGTTCGTGCCATCACCGGCGTGACCTTGAAAAATAAGTAATTTCAAAAATTCTGATGTTAAAATAAACTAATAAATGTGATAAACTTATAAAATTTCATGTAATTTTTTTACTATATGTATCTATTACATTTTCGTTCCCTGTGTGGTTTTATTCCATCATCGAACTCATAAAATAAAAATGTCTCTGTATATTATTTTTAGGATTGATGGTTAGAGCTATGGACTTGAATTTGGGGTCAAAAATATTTTAAGTTATTCTCAACCAACACTTGTTATACTTAATATATTATTTGCAATATAATTATTTGCAAAAATATTAGTGTTATGTGCAAAAATTTGAACTAACTACACTCGTTTTTGAAAAATGCTGTTACAAAGAGAGATACGTTTCGAGACTATGGTTCGTGCCATCACTGCTGCAAACTTCAAAAACGAATATTTTCAAAGATTCTGATGTTATAATAAACTAATAAATGTGATAAACTTATAAAATTTTATGTATTTTTTTTACTATATGTATCTATTACACATTTGTTCCCTGTGTGGTTTTCTTCCATCATCGAACTCAAAAAATAAAAATGCCTCTGTATATTATTTTTAGGATGAATGGTTAGAGCTATGGACTTGAATTTTGGGTCAAAAATATTTCACATTATTCTCAACCAAGACTAATAATCCTTAAAATTTTAATTTCAAAAATATTAATGTTATGTGCAAAAATTTAAACCGACTACACTCGTTTTTGCACTGTTTTTTTTTTTAAGATGTAGAGTAAGATACGTTTCGAGACTATGGTTCGTGCCATCACCGCTGCGAACTTAAAAAACGAGTATTTTCAAAGATTCTGATGTGAAAATAAACTCATCAATATGATAATTATTTTATAAATTAATTTCATGTATTTTTTTATTATGTGTATCCATTAATGTTTTGTTCCCTGTGTGGTTTTATTCCATCATCGAACTCATAAAATAAAAATGCCTTGTATATTATTTTTAGGATTCGTTTACACTTAGTTGGTTTTTTCCAAGATGTAAACATCTGGACGTAAATGATCCGAAGATGTTTACATTTCGAATTCTTAAACGAAGAAGTTTATTTTTATGTTTATATTCGCGAAATGCCAAGTCAGTGGTTTGCAAATGCTGAGAAAAATATTTCGATGACATTTATATAATAAAAATAATATTTATTTGGTGTACATAATAATTTAAAGACTCATTTTAGTGACATTTTGGCATGCAATATATAATAAATAAAATGATTGGATAAATTCTTGAGAAGATTCTTTTTGTTTGAAAATGATGTGAAAATATTTATTTGTAATTAATAAATTATTGAGTTAATTTATTTGTAAGATAATTTAAATAAGAAAGTATTGACTAATTTGAAAAATAAAATATTTACACAATTACATTTTTGCATACAAGTTTTAAAAAATTGTCTTTATTGCCCAAAATAACTTAACGTAACTTTTTATGCTTATTTATTTCAAAATTAAGAATTTTTAATAAAAAAAATTTTGGTGAATCATTTTAAGACATGAATAATATTTTAACAATTTTAATAAATAATTAAGAGCTACAAATAGTATTTATAATAATTATTAATTAACATAATGTATTTTTTTTCAAATTTTTAATAAAAACTAAGTCTATAAAAAAATGAGCGTTGGAAGCTGTTTTAATTAAATTTATTAAATTTTATGAACTAATTAAATTTAAACTAAAATATTTAAAAATTAAATTGAATAAACATTTTGAATAAAAAATTTGTTAAATGTTCCTAAAAAAATCTATTAAATATTTGATTCATTGAATAAGTTTGAGCAATAAAAAATATCATAACAATTCTTAAATAAAAATAGTTTAATTTATCATTTTGAGTAATAAATAATCGTATTAAATTTGAGTAACTCTTGTGATCTTTTTAAACATTTTGCATAAACAAGAACTCTTATTTACTTTGTTCTTTAAATTGTTTATTTTATAACAGCTCAGTAATAAATATTGGACGTCCATCAAACTTTGTTTGTATATTTAAAAATAATTTTATCACATTTTTATTATTGCACTTTGTAATCAATGATACATTGTATTGATATAAACAATTTAGATAACACAGATCAAAGTTAAAGAAATATATAGTTATAAATAAGATTTCATTACAAAAAAAACTTGCTGATGAAATAAAGATAAAAGAGATTTTATTTTATAATTAGGAGTAAAATTTATGTCTTGAAATGATTTTTCAGAGAAGTCCCAAACTTCCTAAATAGATGTATAAATATTAATCTTTTTATATTTTATAAGAAATAGGTGTTTGTGGTAAGAGGATGAAAAATTGAAAATTTAGGGTTTTAAGTGTTTTTATGAAAAAAATTGACCCAAATAATAAAGAGAAAGTTCGTTGAGTTGCCCAACAACCTTTACCACTTGGTTTCAAACAAATTATGCAAAAACTTGCCCAGAGACATACCTAACAGTTTCTCAAATTTTTCCAGTGATTGAATGTATAGTTTTTGAATGAAAAAAAAATTGGGCTGATGTAAACTCTGTCTATTATTTTTCCACCAGCTCTCCGTCTACTTTTCCAAATTTCCATCCCAACATGTCGTGAAAAACCGCTGCAAACCGTGCAATTAAATCTAATTACATATAATTATTCACAATTAAACAGACAACTAATACGAACACTCCAGAGAGAGGAGCATCAGCAGCAAATCGTTGTATTTTAACGCTCCAATTCGCGTCAACTGCAGATAAAATATAGCGGCAAAAATCACCGAATCGCTCATGCGATTTCGCTCATGGGAAATGTGAATTCGGTAATAAAATAGTAAAATTTGGGGAAAACAGGACAGTCAAGTAGGCAAATGTAATCGACTGAAAATTCATTAGCATTTTGAACAAAATAGTAATGAAAATTTGACGCCAATTGATATGGAACAGAGGCTAGTAGAGCAACCAAAATGAATCATAACAACTAGTGTGAAATTTTCGAAAAATCGAATTTGCAATTTTTTCATATTTCGATAGGTCATACCTTTAAAAATAACATATCAAAATTTTAAATCGATATCTTAAATAGTTTTTGAGTCATAGCCATTTGAAGAGTATATATATAGTATATATACTAACGATCATTTTATCTTTAAACGCGTTTTTCTCGAAACAGCATTTTCCGAATTTGCTGCAGCGATTGCTCAAAAACAAATGATCCGACCCCTATCATTTTTTTTACACGTTCTATATATAGTTCTCCGTAAAATGAACTATCGATTTTTTGATCGGATCAAAAATCGAATTTTGGCAATCCAAAACGACCAAAATTTTGGGTAAAATTCGACTTTTTTTAAAAAAACGCCATCATTTTGTCAATTTTTTATTTTTTTTCTTCATCGCAGTTCATTTTACAGACAATATTATCTAGTTTAACGAATTTTTTTTTCTTCTAAATTTCATCCACGTAAAAGGCCGGAATCACTGCAGCAGTGAAGGGCTTTTTTTTGTCGCGCCGTTGGAGATCGACGATAACTTAAAAAATATTTATTTTTTTTCTTCAAAAATATTACTATGCATTCCTAAAACATGTATAAATATATTCCTAAAATTTTGAAATGTTTGATAAAGTAGCTTTTTTAATATAAATTCCCAAAAATCACCTTTTTTTAGGCGGTTATACTAGTTGTGCCCCTTAAGTTTAAGAATCATATTTTGTTCTGTCGATTTTTTATTCCATTTTATGACGGTCGCTTTCTTTTTCGATGCTAAAAAAGCGATTTTCGATCAAAAGACCGACCTATCGACCTTTCTGTAAGGAATGATGGGGCTCCTGAAATATCGCATTTCAAAAGAATGGAGACCATTGAAAACACATCAGAAGAGCCCCCAGAAGCACCTAAAACTCTAAAGGGGCACATAAAGGAAATATTCTGGCCCGTGGTTTAGGATTTATGCATATAAATTGTTATTATTATGGACCGATGTGGAAAAAATGTATATATATATATATATATATATATATATATATATATATATATGTGTGTGTGTATTTCTATTCCAATTCATACAATAAAATAAATTGCAACTTTGCAACAGCAATAAATCTTTTCACCAAAGCTGACACATCAATTTCGCGAGCAATTAAAACACCACAATCCAATTAAAAGTCTACTACTATCTATAAAACTGATAATTAACAAACTAAAGTTATATTATTTATTCATTAAATAAATGTAACAATTCGAATTGGAATCCTTTGGAAATATACTCTGTATAGAAATAACAGTGTAATTAAAAGGAGAAATAATAATAATAGATAGAGAGCTGAAAGGATTTTGCTGACACTATTGGTCATTGTGGATAATTTGCATTGATTGGAAATTGCCCATATATATATATATATATATATATATATATATATATATATATATATATATCAGATTTAATATATCAGATTTTTTTTAACCACACTTAATTCATGTTGCCTCTACCTTTTGTGTACAAATTGTGAGGTTTGTCCAATGTATTTTTTCCACAATTTTATTCATTTTATATGAAAAAAAAATCCACCATATTCTGCTTTTCTTAAACATATTGTTTGCTTAAGTCTTATCAAGATCATGTTTCTTGACAATTATAATTCAAAAAATAAAAATCAATACAAAACAATGCTTTCAGACCATATGCAAAATTTTAAACACACCTTTG